CATAGCTCCGTGTCTGTGAAAAGAATTCCTCCCTTTGCTTCCACTCAGGTTGAGTTTCAGAGACACAAATGTCCCCGCGGTTTTTTCTCCTTCACTTCTTCTGATTCTGTCAAATCCCAAACTGTGGTCCGCGGGTCCGAGCAGGCCCTCAGGGTTTCTTTCATTCTTCTTATTTTACTTTAGTTTTAAAAAACAAATCTGTTGCCTTAGCTGTTCTCCCTTTGGACCAATAAAAGCTCCAGCAGCTCCCTCTCCTCCTCCTCCTCCTCTTCTTCTTCGTGTCTCTCACGTCAGTTGTTTTGCACACTTCCTATTTTCAAACACGGAAACAAACGGCACGAGAGGAGCAGGATGTTCTGCACGCACCGGGGGGCTCGAGCTCACGGGTAAAAATGAAAAAGAAAGGGGGGGGGGGGGGGGGGGGTGAGGGTGACGAGGGATGCGGATGCGTGCGGGCTGGAAGAAGAGGAAGAATCCGCCGCCGACTGTCGTAAAAAGCGCGAATAGGAAGACGGAAAAGACGGAGAGGAGAGAAAGAGGATCAAACGCTGCGCAGCGCAATAAAAGAATATGACTGCTATAAAAGTTTATAGCGTATAAATTTCTGAAGGTTAAGAACTAAACGGCTGTAAAGCAAACACGAGGAAAGAAAAGGGGGGGGGGGCGAGGAAAGACACAGAAGAAATATTAGAGGAAATGTTTCAGATCTCCTGCTTCATCTTTTATTTGGAGGTTAGGCTGGGATCAAAGACACACACACACACAACACACACACACACAGAGGATGAGCCAATATTATACTACTGTCTGACATCTGAGACTCTCAGTGCGTGATGGAGAGGCCTGGATGAGGAGGAAACATGTTTTCAGGAACATTTTGAATTTGTTTTATTTGATTTTGTTCTACTTTTGTATTTCAGGAACATAGCACGGATGAGTCTCCTTCCTCCTCCTCCTCCTCCTGCCCTCTTTTCAGCCTTGGGAGTTTTATGGTTTTGTGGCCGTTTGGCTCTATTGGGGTATTTTTGCTGCCTGGTTGTGTGTGTGTGTTGGCTCCTCTCTGACCTCTTTGTCTCACTTTGCTGCGTCCTTACAGCCAGGGTTGTAAAAAGGCATAAACTCCCCCAAAACAACACCAAAGCGCAGCCCCAGACAGACCCCGGCATGACAGCGCTCTGTGACCGGCTCCCAGGCTTCTTTTCCGGCCTATAGAGGTCACAGCGGGGCCCGGGCTGGGGCTGCACAGCGGGGGGAGGCAGAGAATTTTCTGCATGAAGTGTGGAAACACACAGGTTTGATCCCACAACAGCTGTCTGCAGACCTAAATGGTTAAATATGTTGTTCCTATTTAATTTTAAATCTCGCGTTGTTTTCGATTTTTTTGTCATGATTACGAGATTTCCAGGCATCAGGGGTGACACCAAGACTGCTTTCTCTTCAGATAACAGTTGCAACCGCTTTTACAGCCTGTTTACAGCCTGTTATTAAGACACACACACACACACACACACACACACACACACACACACACACACACACACACACACACACACACACACACACGTCCCTCGAACATGAAAACAACTATCATGTGCGGTAATGAAATGAGGATGCCTGAGCTGGACTTCACATACACACGCTGACACACACTGACACACACCTCTGACCCGTCACCCAATTTTTTTTTTAAATATATATATTTTTTAATTAAAAACAATAACCGGAAATTAAATAACAATAATAAAACATCACAGAAATTCAGGGAAAATCACTAAAAGTCTCCACGACGTGTTTACATGAATGACGTGTTTACATGAATAACTTTATTTACGCCAAGCACACACATGTAAAATATTAGCCAACATAAAATAAATATCCCCAATAAATTAGACAAATTAAATAATTCTTATATAATATAACTCCTTCCACGAGCCAATCCCATTTCATTTGAGTCTTTCAATATTAAACCATTTCAGAAGATTTATAACAAATATTTGAAAACAGATTTTCACTGTGCATTTTGTAAACATTAAAGAGTTGTGACAAAACCATCCTGCAGAATTTATAAAGAGTCTCGTGCATTTACCTGCTGCTTACAAAAAACAATAAAGCTTGAAATACTTATGCGTGATTTATTTTTTCCATTTTTAGTTTTGCTTTAGATCAAATATGAGAAATAAAAACTACAGAAGGCATCCTGTGTCTCTGTGCTTTAACTTTAAATCCAACCTCTAGATGCCTCTGAACCTGTCTGTCTCACATACAGAGTCTATATTTATATATTCAGCTTGATGGATATTAGCCTGATAAGCAGGACTTTGTATTTTCCCCTCCTGCACTACTCTCTCTCTCTCTCTCTCTCTTTCTCTCTCTTCTCTATTTTACCCACAAATCCCAAATCAGCCCTCACATCTGGCCTCCAATTATATCCCGCAGTTTTATTTTAAAGCAGCTTATGTAGCTTTATGTGCGCACTTAATAGAACCATAAAGCCGCATTACAGGCCGACGTCCCCCCCTGTGGTCCTTTAAGCAAATGGCCACTTGATGGCGCTCTTGCTCCACCGATAAAACAGTCTCGCCCAAGGCTCTGCTCACCTCCTGATGTCGAAACCAACATGCACGAGCTCCTGTGAGGGGGGGCAACTTGCTTTATTCCTTTTCTGTGTGTATAAAAATGGGTGTTGTTGAGGAGCTGGGAGGTTACTGAGATACTTTTAGACTTTCTGTCCTGATATTTGAAGACATTTTTGGGTTCTTTTCACTGATGATGCGGAGGAAGGGCTGAGGCCTTGGAAAATAATTACCCAATAGCCGTGCAGGATACGTATAGGCCGCCAGGAAATGTTTATTTGTGTTGGTGTACAATCCACTCCAAGGACACACGCACCTTATTCCCCTGCTTAATATGCAGGAATGTGTAAGGTGAACGCGCGTGTGCAGGGTGCTGGAAACATGTTTTGCACTGGTCACTGTAAGGGATATGATCACCCTGAGCATTCAGGATGCACAGAACTCTTCACCTGTGGTATCCTGATTTTAAATAAAACAGCTATTGATGTTTCTTACTTCTCTGAATCCTTCTGTTTACGGAGTCTGTGCGCGTCTCCAGGGCCGCCTGATGTTCTCTGTTGTGTGTTTTATTCTGCAGGAATGAACTGGTAACAGACTCTCTCTGTTTTCTAATTTAGATCTCTGTCCGGACTGTGATTAAAGCTGCGTTGAAGCTGCTCTGAAACGTGTGTTTTCCCGCGCACACATCCACATCTCGCCCCGCAGACTGCAGATCTCTCATAAGCAAACACTTTATTAGAAGTGTAAAACACGGCGCGCTGAACTTTCAATAAGATCATATTCTGGGTAATAAATTGGGAAAATACTGCGGCAATTACTCCTCAGAAAGTCGGGCGTATAATCAGCTGATTTACCACAACACGGAGTGTAATTCAGGCGGCTGCTGGCAACATTTGGGCCTCTTGTGTCAGCGCTGTATAATCTAAATAAATTAAATTCCTGTAATGACATTTTTATTTGGCTGAGCGCGCCACAAACAGGAAAACATTCAATGATGGAGATAAAATGAAAGCTCAAAAACAAAATCATGTTGCAGGAACCGAATGAGAAAATTGAGTTTGAGCTCCTGCAGACACCTGCATCATTGATTGCTCCTCTCAGATTGATCAGCATCTTTCAGGCTGCAGAAAACACTGTTTTAGTGTCAATCAATGCAGAAATCAGTCCATCAGTCTTTATTTCTTACTTTTTTACGGCTGTTCTACAAGGCCTCGGTCCAACCTTTGCTCATCCTATCCTTCCTTAGTAAGGCCCTCTTCTTACCTCTGCTCACACTACAGGAAAGACCACAGCAGTATGGAAAACACGCAGATGACACTTAAATACCCGGCGACGATGAGGCGTTTACGGCCTCCGGTGGCGCAAAGGGCGCGTCGTAAAACATCCCGGTTTGTTTCTGCTGCCGGGACGTAAACAAGCGAACACTGCCCCTCCGCTTTATGGAGCTTTATAGTTTGTTAAAGCGTTTACAGCCACTTTCTCCGAGCCCATTACCTCTCCGGTCCTCCTCACATGTTTATGGAGATCATATTTATAAAAGTATACGACGATCAGGGCGCATGCGCGTCTCGTTCTGACCAGCCTCAGAAATGAAGACAAGAACTGGTTTTAAAACCTCAATTACATTTATAGACTGGTACTTGTTAAAACCAATACCAATTAGGAAGCACTACCCCTCCACTCCCCCCTCCCCCCCTCTCGTGCAGGCTCGCTGACATTTGCGGGCCTCATTCACTCCGCGCGCGTTCCCTCCTTTAAGGATTCAGAGGAGAAAATGAGAAAGAGCAATTAATGAGAGCAATACACCACCACACCTCCCCCATCCCCTCACCCCTTCCCCACCATCAACACCCGACCTCAATCTCAGCTTCAAAGTAAAAAGAAAATCAGTTCTTTTTCTTCTTTTGGTTGATGTGTGTGCGCGCGTGCGTCTATTTGCTGTTGATCAGATGCAAAGCGGCAGAATTCTCATTACCCCCCCCCCCCCGCTTGATAGTGCACCTATTTTCTTCCACTCCACCTCCTCCTTCTCTTCCTCTTCTTCTCTCTTTCTTCATTCTCTCTCTCTCTCTCTCTCTCTTTGCATTATCTCTGGCGCGCGGAGCTCCTCGAGCTGACTATCATCTATAAGCTTAGAGGCGCGTGCGGGGACAAGCGAGAGAAAAAAAAAGTGTAATAGACCTTATATGAGTGTGTGTGTGTGTGTGTGTGTGTGTGTGTACGGGCACTGGTGTGCGTGGAGAAGCCAATGGGATGAAGAGCTGATAATAGATGCAAATTATCCCTGAAACCGACAGACACAGACACACACACATATACACGTACACACCAACACACACCGAGGCCAGGAGGAGAGAGAGAGAGAGAGAGAAAGAGGGGGTGAGCGCGCGCGATAGAGAGCCAGAGAGAGAGAGAGAGGGAGCAAGAGAGAGAGGGAGAAAAAATATGAAACAACTCATTTGCAGAGGAGTAAATCACGGAAAAGCCGTTTGAGAGCGCGACAGGGCTCCGCTTCCAGCGCGAACACCGGAATTGTGATGCGCAGGAGCCCTTCCTCCTCAACTTCTCCCTCTTCTTCTTCTTCTCCTTTCTCTACGTTTTCTGTTTCTTCTTCTTCGCTGGAGTTTTTATGGAATCGGTGTGATCGTTGTTGTTGTTGTGGTTGTGGCTGTTTCCGTTACTCACATCACCGCGCGTCCGTCACTGTGGCCGTGAGGGGAAACACCACAACAACGGTCACCGACACCGGCGGCAGACTCGCCTCGCGCTCTCTCTCTCTGTGTGTGTGTGTGTCGGTGTTTGTCTGCCTCACAGCGCGCGACAGAAGCAGAAAAAAGGAAAGCACGAGCCGCTGGTCGCTCCCTCTGTGACTCTGCTGAACACTGACTGAACTACTGTAAAAAAAAAAAAAAAAAAAAGAAAAACCACACCAACACAAAGATGAGTTCATATTTCGTCAACTCGCTCTTCTCTAAATATAAGAGCGGAGACTCGTTACGTCCAAACTATTACGAGTGCGGCTTCGCGCAGGACCTGACCGGCAGCCGGCCCACCGTGGTGTACGGCCCGGGCTCCGGCGCCACCTTCCAGCACGCCCCGCAGATCCAGGACTTCTACCACCACAGCGCCTCCACACTGCCCAGCAACCCGTACCAGCAGAGCCCCTGCGCGGTCACATGCCACGGCGAGCCCGGGAACTTCTACGGATACGACGCCCTTCAGCGGCAGACGCTTTTCGGGACTCAGGACGCGGATCTGGTCCAGTACAGCGACTGTAAGCTGGGAGGCGCGCCGGTGCTGAGCGGAGAGGACGCGGAGGGGACCGAGCAGAGCCCCTCACCGACGCAGCTGTTCCCCTGGATGAGGCCGCAAGGTGAGCTAACGGAGCTGCAGAGGTTGTTTTGTCTTTTACGCTGACTCTTCTTTCCTACAGAGAGAGTCGAGCTGCTGCTGCTGCTGCTCCACGAAGAGGAGACATGTTCAGGAAACAGTGGAAGAAACTTTGAAGAAAAGTGTTTATAAAAAGCAGCAGTTTGCGCAGGGCAATCAGAGCTTCCTGCGTTCAAAGCGGAAGACAAAAGCACGTTTATGGTTTTATTGGCAGCATCAAAACTTGTGAATGACTTTAGGGTTTAATTACCCGGGTCATATACTGAGAGGAGCCGGGGTAGGAGCTCGGAGAGGGAGAGAAAGGAAAGCAGGCTAAAATGGACGGGAGATGTTGGAGGAGGGGGTTCAGAGGAGAGAGAGAAGAGCCCCTCTACAAAAAGTGCAGCTCTGAGCAGATGGGAGAGAGTTGTTTCAGACATGCAGCTCTGACCCGGGTTAAACTTTTACTGCCGTTTTTTTGCTTTTACTGCCCTGCCTGTGGTCTGTGGGAATATTTGGCTGCACGGTGGCCGAGTCCCTGTTGGGTTAGAGCAGAGACTGTGCATGTGTGAGAGGAGGAGGAAGAAGAAGAAGAGTTAGCACCTCCACATCTGATGAAAACAAAAAAATCTAAATCACCCTGCAAGTAAAAAAAAAGAAGCGTGCTCTTAAAACACTCAGTTTGTTTGTGGCACACGGTGAGTCAGGAGCAGGCCGAGCTCAGATTATATATCTTTAATTAGAATTTCTTCAAATATTATTTGCATTGTAGGGACGCCGAGCTGATAATGGATGGTTTAAACCGACAGCACAATACGGCTGATTATGCAAGAAGGCATTTTTGTGTTGGAGAGACACAGACTGTAAGGCAGAGAGAGAGAGAGAGGGCAGTGAAGGGATTGACGTGTATAGCAGCCTATTTTGTTTGAGCCCATAATTCTTGTGCCGTGGTGTGTGTGTGTGTGTGTGTGTGTGTGTGTGTGTGTGTGTGTGTGTGTGTGTGTGTGTGTGTGTGTGTGTGTGTGTGTGTGTGTGTGTGTGTGAGAGAGAGAGAGAGAGTGAGAGTGAGAGTTTATTGCTTGTGTTCTCGGTTGTATTTTTTAAAGTGGGGCTGCAGACGGGTTATAGCCTGTACAGGACTTTTGTGGCTTCATGATTATGATCATAAAATAAAAAAATATATATAATAAATAAATGAAGCAGCTCTGTTTTTACCTCGAGCTGCTTCTCCTTTCATCCTCACAGCACACATATTGAAACCACCTGCTCCAGATAACAGCAGCAACATTTGATGATACACATTTACAACAATACGAGCACGTTCCCTGCAGTGTGTGTGTGTGTGTGTGTGTGTGTGTGTGTGTGTGTGTGTGTGTGTGTGTGTGTTAGGGGAACCTTGTGTATCAGTATTACATGTTTCCTGATTGTGTGGCCTGTAAATGATCATAATTTACATAGTTAAAGCCTGCGTTATATTTTCCTAACACTTGTCTGCGCGTCACGGCTCTCCAAATCATTCCCAGCTTTAAACACGAGCGGCCACACTCAGGCGCGCGCGGGGCTGAGATCCTGAAAACGACGTTTGAAGGAGCTTCCACTCTTCTGCAGAGACGACGACACTGATTAGTCCTATGATTGATAGATTTCATACTGTATACTTTGGCTTTACTGCCCGGGTGCAGGCAGCTCTCATCATCCGGGGGCTGCAGACTCGAGTGAAAACAGGAAACCAGGCATGACAAGCCGCTAAAGTCCGAGAATGCTCTGTATGTACGTACGCGGTTACAGCTCGTGTGCTCTTTGATGGGATATTATCTCAGCTCAGCGCGAGGATTTATTAGTTATAATAGCAGGAAAAGGCGGACCGTGTTTTGCGGGTGTAACGGGGAGGGGGGGATGGAGCGCAGCTGCGAGGCGGTGATCCTCCCCGTTTAGCACCGAAATCCCGCTTTAACGAGAGGAAACGTTTCATAATTTGTCTTGTAAAGAGGAGCTCGCCTCCTCCATACCTTTCATATATCAGAAACACGGCACTGGAGGAGGAAGAAGATGCGTTGAAATCCTCCCGAGTCTCTCCGAGCTTTAATATCTGAGTCTCATTCTGAACTCGTTTTACGACTCGCTGTGGTTTGGAATAAATCATAAATGATTCTCTCTCCAGGCTACAAAAGAAAAAAAGCGAAGTAAAATCTGATTAGGCAGAAGAATGGATGAATGTCTGTAATTGTTTTAGTCTTCTGTCCCGGCTCTCATTGGCCTCTGTTGTCCAGAGGAAACCTTGTTTCTCCTTCCTCCAAAATGTCAACTGCCAACAGCCGTGCATTAGTTTAGAGCTCATTTAATTGGCGTAGTAAAGGTTTCATGTGTGATAGCTCTTCAAAATGTTTAGAATGCCGAGGCCTCAGTCTGCTAAAGAGCAGGTGATCATTCAGCTGACGAGAGAGCAGCAACACGTCAAACAAATGAAACAAATCTGAGGATTTAGTCCTCTAAGAGCTGTTTGATCCTCCAGCTGTGGATGGAGCTGGTGTGTGTGTGTGTGTGTGTGTGTGTGTGTGTGTGTGTGTGTGTGTGTGTGTGTGTGTGTGTGTGTGTGTGTGTGTGTGTGTGTGTGTGTGTGTGTGTGTGTGTGCGTGTGTGTGTGTGTGTGCCGGAGGTTGAGGGTTAAATTCTTCGTGTACGTTGCTCCGTCAAAATAGCATTCGGATCAAAGCAATCCTCTCTGTCATTTTATCCAGGAAAGTGTTTCTCAGTTCCCTTAATTCATGGCTGGTGACAGCACTGAAGGTGGCGCCCAGCTCCCTTTAGTCCCCACAGCACGAAATCACGGCGCCAGCCCCGTGACAGATAACACATACAAGACATTTACATCACTTACAAGTTCACACATTTCCATAAAGACTCCCTCGTCTGCCGCTGTTCCCCTCTTCTTCTTCTTCTTCTTCTTCTTCTGCATGTTTGACCATAAAAGCAGCTCTGTGCCCAAACACGGACACTGAACGTGGAAAGTCAAACTCATCACTGATCCGTGTTTGTTTTTCACCTGCAGGCTGTTTCTAATGAGAGGAGAGTAAGAGGGCTGTGTGTGGTTACAGCAACAATCACTGCACTCAAGAAAATACAAAACTACATTTAAATCAGGGAATAAACAAAATCCATCCTGAAAAAAATCCTTTGATATTTGATTTGACCTGAAATGAGAATTCTTCCACTGCTCTGTAGTTTGTAGGATATTTCCTAAACGCGTTCTTTTTTATTCTGATGCACAATAAAGAATAATAATAATCAACTTTATTTAGAGCCCACAGCTTCTGCCAGGGAATGCAATAAAATATAAAATGAGAATTAAACAAAATGTGCAAATTTAAAAAAAAGGGACATTTTGACAATCATGCAAACGCCTGATATTTCCCCTCCAATCAAATTTGTTTCGAAGCAGCATTTTTTATTTTTTTATTCCAGAGCTGCATGATCACTAACAATGCTTAGTTCTCACAGCAGATTTAAAATTATATATTTACGCTCAATAAAAATAGGATGCGTGTGTAGAAATGTCAGACTCATTCAGAGAAGTGTTCCAGTCTTATAGAAGCACCGCAGCTGTCTTTAAAGCATCAAAACTCTGTGATTATATTCAGTTTCATGTTTTTCGTTTTCTTTATAAACTGGGACCATCATGGAGAACATACTAAAAACGTTTTTTTTTTAAACTGCAGGTGAATAAAATCACCTGAGAGGCGGGTGTTTCTTTCGTCGTGCTTGTCCAGCGTTTGTGCAGAAACTCGATACGTGACCTCGTGTCCGTTGATTAAGTATTTATGAATTTGATATTGCGTCTGTGCTCCGGGTTCTCTCCCTGCGCGCAGACAAAGAAACATCCGCCTCAGAGACTCACAGCTACACCTCTCTATCTCCACTTCTCATCGTTTGCACCGTTTTTAATGAAAAGTCTCTTCTTGTCTTTGAACGCATCTTTATTCTCCTCTTCATTCTTTCAGAGATCGTCTCTTAAAGAGATGCTTTCCCCCCCTCTCCTCAGTTTTTACGATGTATTTATGTGAAGCATCAAATATTCATGTGCACTCCTGTAAGTGCTCAGTAGATGTTTCTTTTTAGAAATATTCAGTGACTGCAGTTGGTGGATGGTGATGTGCTTTTGGTGGAGTTCCGGGTGGGTTAGAACATTTTGTGTGTGTGTGTGTGTGTGTGTGTGTGTGTGTGTGTGTGTGTGTGTGTGTGTGTGTGTGTGTGTGTGTGTGTGTGTGTGTGTGTGTGTGTGTGTGTGTGTGTGTGTGTGTGCGTGTGTGTGCGTGTGTGTGCGTGGAAGTGTGGAAGAGAGAGATTTATGACACCCATGAACATGAGTCATATGAGAATCATTTTGATTTTTAAGGACATGCCTGAACTTCCTTTCTTTTCAAGAAAACAGCTCTGATGTGTGAATTTAACATCCATGCATCAATAACAACATAAACAATGTTTGTTTGTTTGTTTGTTTGTCTGTTTGGATGAAGGGTCACTGAGTTAATCCACACTCACAGACAAACAAAGGGATTCATGTCTATCTCAAAGTAAAGCACTTCATCTGAACATCAGTGAAATGAAGAGAAACCATCTCAGTGTAATTCTACAGCGACACACGCACACTAAACCTCACAACACATGTCAGTACATCAACATTTCATCAGTTATTGTCTGTAATCTGAAAATGCATTTTATGTAAAGATGCTTTTGGTTAATCTTCTAATATTAAAACATGTGCAGCTTTATTTTTATTTCTCTTTAAAATCATTGTGACGTCACATGAGTACCTTTGAGAGTTGAATTGGTTCAGACACAAAGCGCTGTATGAGGAGGGTCTTTGTACCTTCATGTTCGCCCTCTTGTTCTGCCATACGCAGAAAAAAATAATCAACGTTTTGGAAATGCAGATTTAAATATTTGCAGATGTGAATATAAAACATGAAACTGTACTATACCGTATAGTACCTTACCGTATACTACCATCATGATAGTACCATACCATATAGTACCATACCGTATTGTACCATCATGATAGTACCATACCATATAGTACCATACCGTATAGTACCATACCATGTAGTACCATCATCATAGTACCATACCTTATAGTACCAAGCCGTATAGTACGGTACTATACCGTATAGTACCTTACTGTATAGTACCATCATGATAGTACCATATACCGTATAGTACCAAGCCATATAGTACAGTACTATACCGTATAGTACCTTACAGTATAGTACCTTACAGTATAGTACCATCATGATAGTACCATACCGTATAGTACCAAGCCATATAGTACGGTACTATACCGTATAGTACCTTACAGTATAGTACCATCATGATAGTACCATACCGTATAGTACCAAGCCATATAGTACGGTACTATACCGTATAGTACCTTACTGTATAGTACCATCATGATAGTACCATATACTGTATAGTACCAAGCCATATAGTACAGTACTATACCGTATAGTACCTTACTGTATAGTACCATCATGATAGTACCATACCGTATAGTACCAAGCCGTATAGTACAGTACCATACCGTATGGTACGGTACCCCTGACCCTACCCCGATATGGTACAGTACAACATGACCCAACACGACACGCTTAGACAGGACACATTGCAAAAGGAAATCTAACACTTTTCAGTCCCTTTAGGAAACTTATCTTTAAGACGAATGCTGCAAACTTTCTCTGTTTTCGGGTTAATAATAAATATTTTATTTATCTTTTAATAACGAAGACTTTGTTTGATTTCCATGTAAGGGGTCGTTGGAAGGTTTACGATAAAGCGATGATGTAATCAGGTAGTTTTTCCTGTAATAATGTCTCCCCCACCTCTATTCTGCCCACCCCCCCTCCCCCCCTCCACCCAGTAGCTGCTGGCAGGAGACGAGGCCGGCAGACTTACAGCCGCTACCAGACCCTCGAGCTGGAGAAGGAGTTCCTGTTCAACCCCTACCTGACCGGAAACGCCGCATCGAGGTGTCGCACGCGCTGGCTCTGACGGAGCGACAGGTGAAGATCTGGTTTCAGAACCGGAGGATGAAATGGAAGAAGGAGAACAACAAGGACAAGTTCCCCAGCAGCAAGAGCGAGCAGGAGGCGGTGGAGAGGGAGAGGAGGGAGAAGGAGATCAGGGATGGCAGCGGGAGTGGAGGAGGTGAAGGGGGAGGAGGAGGAGGAGGAGGAGCCTCAGTCGCGGCTGTAGCGGGAACAGCGGGGTCACAGGCCGTCGTGAATGAGGATTGCTGCGAGAAAACTCCGAAGCCAATGTAGGGAGGAAAGCGGGGACACGGGCGAGGAGGGGGGAGGGGAGGGCTGTAAATGCTGGACAGGACGGGGGTAAGGATGGGTGAAGAATGGTGGGTGGGGGGGTTGTTTTTGTCTAACTTAAAGGCCATTGGACTGCCCAGCTGTCTCCACGATCCAATCGATGGAAGGAACATTTCAAAATGGCGACCGGATGGACTGATGAGGCCTCGAGCCTCCACGTGCTGACTGTCGAAAAGCGCGGGAAGAAAAAAAAAAAACACGCAGTGAGACAAGAAAGTGAACTTAAAAAAAAATCACTGAGGGAAGGGGCGGATCAATCCAAGTTGAACAAACATAGATTAATCTAGTGTTTAAAAGAATCAAAAAAAAAAAAGAAGAAAAATGATAGCTTCCTTTCTTTGTGGAACAATTATCGTGGAAACATTTCTATATTGTTAGAAGTTTATCATTAACAATTTTATCTTTGGCAGCTGTATAGTTTTTAAGTTAAAAAGATGATGGTGCACTTTTTACTGTACTTCTCATTTCTATGTTGTTGTTGTTGTTGTTATGGCAATGATTGATGATGATGATGACGATGACGTAGCAATTAATGAAATTTCCAACAACATGAAACTGCCTATTTATGCTGTTTTAGTAGGTCGGGTCTCTTTTTTACACACTCTAATTGTTGTTTCTCGTTTTAGTTGGTTTTATGATCGATGGTGTTCGTTTTATGTTGTCTTCCTTTTTCTCTTTTTGGGGTAAAAAGCATGCGCACAGTGCAGATAAAAAAAAAAGAGAACATTCATAAAAATAAAAAGGAGAAAAAATGTGATTAAATGTCGACTTCTGTAATTTAATGTCGGGCTCTGCTATGAGGTGATGATGGGGAGGGGGCTCTTAATGTGGCACTGTTTAATTGTCATCTTCAATTTGGAAGAAAGTTTTTGATTCGTCAGCTAAAGAGTGAAACAGAAAGAGACAATTCAAGATGTCGCTTTTCTACGGAAGCCCTGAGCAGACACACATCAACACATTTTATAGAACCGAGTTTATTACAATCGTTTTCTTGAGCTCTCGTCTCATTATCTTGGGATAACAGCGTTGAGTTTCCAGTCATAACGACTTCAATTCAGTTGAGACATTAACTCGTCTTCACGGGAAACCAGCGTTGATAACTTGAAGTCGAGCTCACAACCAAAATAAACCCTTAAAGGTCACATATATAAAATCCTCTTCTCCATGTTTCTCTAACTCTAACATGAGTCTCTAGTCTGTCTACAAACCCCCCAATGATGAGAAAAGTCCATCCTCTCCATCTTCTTGCCTGCTCCACTTTTCAGAAAATGTGTGCTCAAACAGGCCATTTGGAGATTTTCCCTTCATGACATCACAAAGGGCAGTAACCCCTCCCCCAGGTGGGGGACACTCCCACAGCTAGGTGTTTGTTCTGCCCTCTGAGTCTGCCTTCTCACCGTAAACAATAGGACATGAAGCGAGAAAGCCCAAGTACACCAAAGCCCTTCCAGAGAGGGGGCGTGGTCAGACACAGCTCATTTACATATTTAAAGGTACAGACACAGAAACAGCCTGTTCTGAGCAGGGCTGAAATAGAGGGGTTTATAGGCATGATCAAATACAGGATCAGAGTGGATTTAGAACAAGAAACTTCACACACATGTTTTGAGGAGCTCTGAGAATTATTTACACTGAAGAGGAGGAGGAGGATATGTTACCTTTAACAGAAAAACAGCGTTACATAAAATATATGGTCTTATGTCTGCTAAGGGCTTCCGTACTTTCCTCCTATTCTTTAATCACTTCCTCTCCTTTCACCCTTCCCTGCCTCCTTCTCTCTCTCCCTCCTTCCTGTCAGCACCCAGACTGATAAAACCGTTCAGTTCACGGGGCCAAACATTTAAGCCTCGACTCGGAAATCTCCTCTTAAAACAACAGACGCCGCCCCTCAAAACACACACGCGCGCACACACACACACACACACACACACACACACACACACACACACACACACACACACACACACACACACACACACACACACACACACACACACACACATCCTATCCAAACATCTCTTTATTTATTGCCTGGTCCTCCACCTCCACTTACATTATTACAGGCCTCTGTATTCACCATTACACTGCCCTCCATCATCATCACCATGACGACTTGAAGTTGGATTGTTTCCATCTGGAGATCAAACAAACTGAGCATGCGTATTCGCTCTTCTTCAGACACTTGACTTGTAGCTAAGAGAATCCGAGCCCGAGTTTTAGATTTAGAGATAGATGTAGCTGACCAAGCAGCCTGACATTTTACAGTTTCATCTACAGACCTTTGTGTAAGCTGTCCAGTCAGTGTGTCATCAGGATTTGAGTTACTTTTTGCAGATCTAGTTTCGATATAACCCCAGAGCAGACAGAGCCTCGAGCCCCCCCTGAGATTTCTGCCACCCCCCTAGGGAAGCCTGGCTCTGCATCAAATGTGCTTTTCTCCTTAAATGGAGCAGAATCTGTTTCTGAATCCAGTTTTGAACAGTGCGTAAAAAAAACCAGTCAAGTTGCTTTATATTTCTGTCTTAAAAACAAACATGAGCAGCTTTCATTTTGCATTGACGATGTCGTTTTGCATCGAATAAAGAATAAATTCAAACTCAGTAAAGGCAAAAATATCCTGATGTTTGATCCTTACATCCCGGCCTTATGAAACACAGGAGTCTACCTTTTTAGACCCCCTCAGCCCCCTAAATGTCTCCTTGTTTAAATCCAACTGCAACAGGATTTCTGTTCAAATAAACTCATGTTCAAAAAAAGATTATTCAGATTCATTTAACTGTTTTTAACAAGGCTCCATGGACAGCAGGTAACAAGTTGATCTGTGTCCTTTAAGTTTACAAAAAGTGAAAAGAAAACACATATATGTTTAAAACACATGAATAGAAACTACATGAATCGTGCTGTGGAGACTTTTTATTTGTCCACCAGTTTTTCTGGTGACTCCAAGTTGAATCTGTGCATGGCCGTAAGAGACATCTCGAGACCCTCAGCCCTAAAGCTGTGGCCCCCTATAACCCCCCGTGCAGGCACTACATACCGGCCTTGGTGTTTGTGACCATGACTCACAAATTAAATCAAATGGCTGCTAAGTATCTGACACAAAAAGTCCTGTTGTTTGCAGCTCCAGGCCGGTGTCCATAATCAAACTTTGAATCTGAGACTTTAAAGTTCTCTCTTCAATCGACTAATTGTCCCATAAAGTTTAACTGGAATGTTACGCAAGCATAACTCCTCTGTGTTCCCGTTAGTCATCACATTCAGCACTAAGATTTCCTCCTGGATAAAGCAGGTCACGGGTACAGAACAAGACCCGAAGAGAGAAAAAAACGTGCATGCAAGACTTCTCCAGACCTGAGCTGAGATTTATGTGGAAAAGGCCGGAGGGTGGAGACACATTAGCACTTTAACCAAGGTAGGGGTAAATATATATCTTCTTTTTTTCTTCTTCTTCTGCTTTCTCCTCCTCTCAAGCAGGAATTCTATTTGGTTTCAGTAATGTTTTTACAAGCATAGAAGCTTTCTCCGGCTTTACTCAAGTGTTTTATTGAAGCACAGGTATCCTTCAGCGTCAGGATGACAAAGTGTTTCTCAAGGTGAAACATTTAACATCAACCCAACAACCACTAAGGTGCCTATAGTTCTGTTTGTTTTCACATGTAATCTATGGCACGGAGGCAGCCAGGTGTACTCATTAATGTTCTGCTTATCATCAATAAAATAAGAATGTTGGCCGTTAAAGCTCTCTGGTGATGAGCGTTACTGAATAATAATTTCCTGACTGCTCCTCTTTAAAGAGTTGTTTACATCTCCCTGTTTCTCTCCTCCTGCAGCGGTACAACAGCCTGCTTTGTTCTGCTGTGAGGGACCCTCTCCTCTGCTACATGTGTGGTCTCTACAACAGAGGAAATCCATCTCCTCTTTTTAGTCATCGGTGCAACTTTATGCACGAGGCTAGAACCATTCCTCCTCACATCCAATCAATGTCCAACTGATGATGTTTCCGCCTTTTTGCGCGCGTTTCAAGCCGCTTCTAACTCTGTGACAGGACGGTCAAGATTTAAGTTTGTCAGCCTCAGCTCCGCGTGCTCGGTGATTAGTAGACACGTTCCGAGCTGCTGCGTATTGATTGTTTAGTATAGATTGCATTCTGTGTGTGTGTGTGTGTGTGTGTGTGTGTGTGTGTGTGTGTGTGTGTGTGTGTGTGTGTGTGTGTGTGTGTGTGTGTGTGTGTGTGTGTGTGTGTGTGCGCTTCAGCTATTTTCTGCCATTATAATATTGCATCCGGAGTGAAGCCCCGTCGGCCATTGGGCATTTTGACATCACATGGACTCAAGGTCACGTGGTCCGAGAAGCACAGGGAGGGGAAGGGGGGGATGAGTGGGGTGTGTGTGTATTTTTGGTGTAAATCTAGACAGTAATACCCCGCCAATAATTCACGGCGCGTCGTAAAAAGTGGACATTAACGCGCCCCGGGCCTACAAATCACCGGCGCCAAATTATGAGTTCGCCTGACTTCGCCAACGCGCTGTTTTCTAAATACCAACAAGCCGCCGTGAACTGCTCCGCTATGCTCTTCACTGACTCTCCAACTTCTCCCTTCCCGTCTTGCTCTACTGCTCCTGCCTTGTCTAATTCGTGCGCCCTCGTGTCCAGCGGATATCACCTCCATGGCTCCAATGGGAGAGGCAGCGGAGGGCTCTCTCTTCCTCCCTCCTTGTCTTCTTCATCTCCTTCCTTCTTAGCCTCCTCCTCTTCCTCCTCTTCCTCGCAGTTCTGTTATTCTCTTTCGGGACTGAACAGGGGCAGCGGGAGTACCCAGCCCGGAGAGTACACAACCCGGAGGGGAGAATTTCAGCCCTCTGAAGTGCGCAAAGAAGAAGGGGCTGTGCCACTGTGCGCCACGGAGCGAATCTCCGGTCGCTCTCAGCTCTACGCGCTGCCCACCGGGCTTCCAGAGCCGACCTGCAGGAGGCAGAGTAACCCTGTAGAGCAGCAGACGAGGCAGTCCAATGAGGAGGGGCCACAGATTTACCCCTGGATGAGGAGCTCAGGTGAGGGGGGGTTAAAAGTTATGAACATTGATGAACTAATAAGCAGCACCTCACAGGTGAGTTGCAGTGAAGGGAGGAAGGTTATTTTTATAAATAGTTTGGGGAAAGCGAGGAGCAGGCCAGGGGTGGGTGGGTTTGTGTGTGTGTGGGGGGGGATGTTTTGTGGGAGAGAGAGAAAAAGAGGTGCAGACCAATAATCCCGTTAAACGCTCTTTAAACCGTTGGCCCGGTTGCGCAGCGGCCACTGCCGTTAGCTGAACTATGCTTGCCTGTTTCTCTTTTTTTACAACCTCTCTCTTTCTTTTTGCAAATCCTTTATTGCTCTGCGACCTCCATAAAACCATAATTTAAGACTTGGTGAATATTCATTAGGTGGTATTGTGTTTCAGAATGGGACTGTGGAGTGAAGGGGTGTCTGGAGTTTTATCCCAGATTATTTGAAAATGGAGAAAACCTCCAGAGAAACTCATCTTCCTCTTGCAGTTATCGCTCATATTCAGGGTGTCGCTCAGCTCGGCCTTCTCGGCCTGATTGCCTTGTGCTTCTTCTCTGTGCTAGCTAGCCCACTGAAAGCCCTTTGTGCTATTGTACTGTCACCACAATCCGCCTAATACTATAAACACTATAAATTAGCGGATGGGTTTGATCTCTGAATGCCTGCTCTTTCCAGCGATTGTAAAAGCGTCTTTGTGAAGCTCGTGTGACAGCAGCGGGCTGGATGCTGAATGGATTGCAGGGCCTCGGAGCCTCGAACCACCACAAACACGTTCAGCACAAAGAACAGTTTTATGTTTGCGTCAAAATACTCAATGGTTGTGCGTGAAAACCGGGAAATGTGGAGAGTGTCCGTGCGTAAAACGTGCGTAAAAGTTGAGGAAATGCTGCACTCTGATCAGTAACGCGGAAACACAGAGACATGAAAGCCTGTTAAATCATGTGTGAGCTCCTTTATTCCCTCCAGCAGCACTAGCTCTTACTCTCACTTGCGCGCACACACACACACACACACACACACACACACACCTCAGGGCTAAGTCAGGCTCACGATGAAATATTTTTTTAGAGAATCAGTCCTTCCTGATTAGCAGGAGCCTCCTGACAGCTACTCGACAGCTTTTCGTCTTGGCCGTCGGCTTCCTCGTTTATTTCCCTCTCTGTCGCCCTGTGTGTGTGTGTGTGTGTGTGTGTGTGTGTGTGTGTGTGTGTGTGTGTGTGTGTGTGTGTGTGTGTGTGTGTGTGTGTGTGTGTGTGTGTGTGTGTGTGTGTGTGTGTGTGTGTGCTTTTCATTTGGAGATCTGTTTGATAAAGAGGGTCAAGAAATGAAAACGGCACCCATGAAATTGAAAGTACTTTATTCACTTGAGGATTTTAAAGTCAGAGAAATGAGTTCAGGGCTTTTGGGGCTAAAAAAGAAAACTACGTAACAATTACGTAAAAAAATATGAACTAAATATTTAAGAAAAAAAGAGAACGTGTCGTTAAATTTCAAACTTCGGAAAAACTTTATACACACAAAATATACAACATATTACATTTCGTGTGTGTGTGTGTGTGTGGCTTTGTGATGGGGTTGAGTCAGTCAGCCTGAATAATGAATTTATAGATTTTAATTTAGATCTGATTCCAGTCCAAGGCTCTGAATATGATTGGAGGGAAAAAGTCCCGGATGTTCCCGCTGACAAATGTGAGTAAGACAAACAACCCACGAGCACGAGCTCTTGCAGCGGCGCACTTGTGCACAATTATGAAGACACTAATTCACTTTATGTTTTATAAATGCGCGTGAGTGTGTTTGAAAAAAATCAAATCCCTTCCTGTCGTCAGTTGCTCGAGAATTCAAGCTCGAGCTCATATAAATCATCAGCGACAGCACGAGAGCAGAAAATATAACAAATAAATGGAAAACACACAAACACGGGCACGTTCTTCATCACTCACACAAACACACGCACACACTCTCACACACGCGCGCGCGCGGAGACTGCAGGCAGAAACATGAAATCTAATTGCGTCTTTAAAAGCTGCAGAATCCGATGAGCGCGGAGTTTATGTACAGTGTGTTTGTGTCGGGGATTAGATTAGCTGTCTGAAGGATTTTTACAATAAATATTTTTTATGTTGCCTAATAAAAAAAATAAATCTGTTTCATAAATGTGTTTTTTCATCCTGAGGCGGAAACGGAAGCTGTAGAGGAAGAAAGACAAATACATGTGGAGGTCTTTGTATTGTAATAAATCAAATATTTACAATTCAACTTACATTTTAATTTTATTTTTTTGCATTTCCACAGAGTTCAATGAAAATATTGTAAATTTCTGAACACGTTTCAAAAATGTTTGTAAATTACTGAACTGGTTTGCCGCCACAATAAGGTTATACCAGTTACTAAAATAACTTTACTAAATGTTTATGTGTAAAAGGTGAAAACAGGTATGGAGCACTTGGACTGATGCCACACACACACTGCAACATCTACAGCCTGAGTAGCATTTAAAATACATCAAACAGAACATCACAGGATACAAACCATCATAACGTGATTTATTATTAAAAAAGGGTTTCCTCTGGTGTCCATACATGGAACTACAATCTGTAGAGGGACACTGAAAGGATGTGAAGAGGTTCAGGAACAGTAGAAAATCTGCTCCTCGAAAACACAACAAATGTGACTCTACTCTGCGTTTTAGTCAGCGTCAGGTTTTTGTGTTTGTGAAACACAGAGAGAGAAAGAGAGAGTTAAAAACATGTCAACCTCTTCCTTTAATGTTTTTCCCTGCAGCACATCTTCATCCTGCATGAACAAACACAGGAGAACACTGAACAACCCATAAGAGAAAAGTATTTCATAGGCCTTTAAAGTCTTTCAAAATAAAAGTATCAAATGTTTTCTTCACTGACAGAAAAGAGGCTCTGATGAAGAACAGCTTTCATGTTCACACACTTTGAATGTAAATTCCCTCCAGAGTAACTTAACCACCAAATTCTCAGGAAAAAAAGAGTTTGAACATGACCTCTGTGATCTCCTGTTCTTGTCCTACACGTCCAGGACTCCTGCAGCGCGTGTAATAAAGCTCGTACCTGCAGAGTCTTTGAAAGCTCATTTTCTGGCAGAGAGCAAACGCTTCAAAGACGAGGATTTATGTCTCAGAGATTTAAGGGCTGACATGAGGGGAAGGTAAAGACACGTTTCCCTTTAAACCCTGGAGCTTCTTTTAACTTAAAGAGGAACTTTCCCCTGGGACTTTGGTCCACCAGGTACCAGGGTCCACGTAAAGTTCCTGGGACTCCACGGAAAGGGTTCCTGCTCTTGGACTTAAGGGTAGGCTCTCTAGTGCTAAATATGTCCGACTGGTGGAGTGCAGTTAGTGCTCTGGTCATCAGGGGAAACAAAGACAACAAAGGGCCAGAGGAACCTTTTAGTCCCAATAAAGGAGCCTGCTGGACTAAAGGTTTTCTGTACCTTTGGTGGAAATGTGGCTTTGGTGTGCTGACGTGAAATAATCTTCTAAAAGCTGCAAGTCTTCAACCAATCAAAAATATTTAGCTGTGTTTCCATCGAAGGAACTTTTCCAAGAATTAGGGACCTTATAGGAGCCTTTACGTCTCTGGAAATGTGGCTCCTGGGATGAAAAATCTCAGATCCTTTTGGTGGAAACATACCCTTTGTGTTACTTCAAAAACAACAACCCCTACAGCAGAAACATTTTTGGGGATGAAATAATACTCCGCAGACTTTTTTTAGACCCCGGTCCCTGCTGTGATAAAGCTCTGAGTACTCTCTAAAGTTCCTTGTCCTTTGGGTAACTTCCTGTGGTTGAAATGCAGCTTTATGTGGACTCTTGTCTTCTAATCTGAGCTCCACTGCAGACGTCCATATGATGAAAGAATCCCAAACATGCAGAGTGAAAGTTGTCCATCACATCATTCTGTGTTTCCTGTTTGGTCGCCCCCCTCCTCCACACATTTATAACCTTCACTAAACACCAGCTAATGCCGTTAAAGTCCGTGCAAACAGTCGCAAAGCTCCTTTTTACAGGCTGGTCGTAACTTTTTATTGCTGCTCAGATGACCTGCAGCCTCAGAGTCTGTTCACAGATTCCACAACAGCAGAAAAAAAGAACCTTCAAAGTGCATGTTATCAGTTTTGTTGTGAGATACAGAGGCTCTGATATTTATTTAAAGAATGATATCACTTTGTACCGCCTCTCCTCTGATCCCACAGTTTCACTTTCCATGCTGCAGATCTGCAGACTTTAAAGGGTTTTCGTCGTGTCCTGCAGGCGACCTCTGAGTTGTAAAAATGTGACCCAGTTTCTCTTCAACCTTCAGGCACTGTGTGACCTCATGAAGACAGAAGGTCAACATGGTTTCTGCGCTCTCACTCACTGACTCATGCATATTTTACACGAGGACTTACAGATTTATGCCTTTGCTTTAATTGAAATGAGCTGCCCTGATTATGGGTCTGTTTCTGCAGACTTCATTGATTCTTTGAAGCTGCTACTGAACCCCCCCCCATAGAAACCCTCAGCATCAACAGTCACATTTGCAGCGCTCTCCTTTAATTATGTGGTGGACTGAAGTGTGCGTACGTCTCCTTTAAGGCCAAACACTGTGAGGTAAATATTGAGCAGCTGAACCCACATGAACCACCCCGTCCTCCGGACTGCTTCATGGTGTTGACACAGCCACAAGTCAGAGGAGTGTGTGTCAGGAAGTGGAGGTCTCAGAGAGTGTGTGAGAACAAAAACCAAAACAAGGAGACAATCAAGAGTCCATGTTTATTTATTTATTCAAATGAAACGCCCTCAGAAAAGACAGGAAAGAGTTCATAAAAGAGGTTTCAAATATTTGCTAAAATGTCTTAATTTTGGTTTGAATTGTGACAAAACAAACGTCAACATTTATCTGTGATTAATACGTCCAAAAATAGAATGAAAGAAACTCAGTTTTCATGGCAGCCATCTTTAAATTGCTGGTGTTGTTGCATGGACTGGCTGCACGTTCACACGTCAAAATGAACTCCTGGGTTCTTATTGACATGTTGACACAATAAACTTTTACAGGATGTGAATCACTCGACCTGTTTCTAAAAACTTCATCAGTGAAATAATCACTTTTGGTGAATTTGAAAATGCAAACAAACAAAAAAAACAACAACAAATAGATGTGTTTTTCCAAATGATCCAGCTGACAGTGATGTCATTAAAAGGTATAGTTTATTTAATTGAAAAACATTATTCTAAATAATTTCACAGAATGAAACAGAGACTTTGGAATGGGACACATTGATTAATGATTTAAACAGACTGCTAATGAAATTAATTAACTTTATTATTTCTCTTTTAGAGGTTTGTTGTTCTCGCTGCTTTAAAGAGAAACGTGTAGTTTATATCAGAGAGAAATGAAGAAGAATATACATTTTCACTTCACACTTCATGATTAGTTTACATTTCACTTCCATAATCATTGCGACCCTGAAGTCCCAAAAGAATATATTCAAAAAAATAAGCTCTAGCTATATATACTGTATATCTCAGAGTTTTTTTTTTTTTTTTTTTTTTTTGGGACTTCCAGGGTTCTGTACATGATCCAACTAAACCATCTTGTGTTTTTATTTAATCAAGAATAAAAGGGAAAAGCAGTTTCTTGATTCTTAATATTGAAGATAATCTGATGAAGATGTAAAAACAGAATCAGAGTTTAGAGTGAAATAAAAACTCTCAGGAAGATTTCTGACAGTTATGACTTAAATATGAAAAATATTAAATAAACTTTTTTTTTATTCTCCGCGTTTATTACTTTATTTGTAGACAGACTGCTGTGATGTTTGATGGGACAGAAAACATATAATTGATATCTTGACTTTGTAGAGTACAAAGAGGAAACGTGTTTCTTTATTTGCCTTTTTATTCTTATTTTCTTATTTTGTTCAGCTGATAGAAAACAGAAAATCAGTAACGTGCAGAAATAGATCTGACAGAGGGGACTCTGAATTAAATACCTGTGTGTGACTGTGTGTGTGCAGGTGCAGACAGGAGGCGCGGCCGGCAGACGTACACGCGCCATCAGACGCTCGAGCTCGAGAAGGAGTTCCACTTCAACAGGTACCTCACGCGACGGAGGAGGATCGAGATCGCGCACGCGCTCTGCCTCACGGAGCGGCAGATCAAGATCTGGTTCCAGAACCGGAGGATGAAGTGGAAGAAGGAGAACCGGGAGACCGGAAGCGGCTCACCGACGCCAGGGTTACCGGCTGCTGAGGAAGAAGAAGAGGAGGAGTGAAGGGACTCATTCAGACTAAATCTGTTAAAGTATGGAATATGTTCTTTAATTTGATTTCCTTTTAATTAATGAAATATTGATTTAAGCAGAAACAGAAACAAAGTTTTTAAACTACAAACTTCCACCACGACAAACATTTAAAATGTCCTCGCGCGTGGATATGACAACATGGCGAAATATAATTAATTCATTTTTTAAGATGTTTCTAATTCTTACAATTTGAACTCAATTCATTCTAATGTATAAATATAAATATTCTCAATTTCTCCATGAAGGATTTATTTATGATGCGAGACAGAACTCTGAAACATCAACACTGAAGTTTGATTTTGAAAAGTATAATCCTAAAATATTTATGAGATGCTCCTAGAGTAAAAATAAATAAATATGAATATCTTCTCTTAGTTCATTCTCCCACAGATAAACCTCCCACGTGAGGAATTATTTTTGCCCTACACAAACCGAACATCCCCAAACTCTGCGCATCTCAGGAGAGCAAATTATAATGTTGAATGTTTTATTAATTAAACTTTGAATATGTGAATAAAACCCGTCACTGCATGACTTTATAGATATATCTCCCTAAATTCTTCCGTCTCTGATGAAGCACGCGGAGGGTTTGATCCTCGTGCTGTGTTGTTTCATCATCAACACTGAGCTCATCTAACATGTATAGATCAACATGAGCCCACTTAATGAAACTGGAAGCAAAACGTCCAATCAGACAACAATATGAAATCATCTTTCTTTGCTGTTAACCTTGAATGTTTATGTTATAACTTCCTGTTTATGCGCCAACACTCACGCGCATGGTGTCAGTTGTGTGTTCAGACTAAAATGCACTTTTTTCTTCTTTTTACTTAAATAATAATAAAACAAATAATCCAACCTGTCCTCGTGTATCTGAGTCTCCCTCCCATCTGGAAATGTTTCAGGTCAGCTGCTCCACATTTCCACATTCCGCGTGGTCGTGCTGAAAGATAAACCTCCTCTGTGGCGTAAAATAAAAGCACCACAAACACTCTCACACTGTCAGTAAGACGACTACAGACGCTTTAGGAGAGTCACAAGTCATCATTAAAGGTCTGAGTCGATCACTTTTTACAACATGTGGCTTTCTAACTGCAGAGGCCAAAGAGCCGGTTTGGATTTAGAAACTGAAAACATGACGAACCTCATGTTTCAAATCTGCTCTACATGTCCTCCTTAAATAAGAGTTTGCACACACAGAGTCCATCCAGGACAGACTCCACTGAGTTCTGACTGATGTTGGTTTTTGTTTTGGTGTCGTGCACTTAAAGGGTTCCACGCGAGTCCGGACCCCAAAAGGGTTCAGCTCAAACTTCATGTACATGTTCTGCTTTTTTCTACCTTTAATCTTTGCAAAACAAATCTGAGGCCAAACGTCCCTCACTGAACACAGAAACACACAAGAGCCCTTTAAATAAAAGTACATGAAGAAACAAAAAGTAACAACGAGGAGCCTCATTCTGACGCAACACAAAATAACCTGCAGTTTGAAGGAGTCTATGATTAAAAACATAAACATGTAATGATCTAAAACTTCTTCTTACTTCCTGTTTTTACCTTTGAATCGCTTCCTTACAGTTTTGTCATTTTGTGTGTTCTGTGTGTCTTCATGTCTGAATGTGCACACCTGCACGTGATCATGCACACACTCCTCCAGTCTGTAAATGGTGAATGCATTCTGAAGAAATGTTGTATTTCTTCAATGCACACACTTTGTTATATGATTCTATAAAATGTATGAAATGCTTCTTGTGCCCGCGTGAAGCTCGTTGAGTGTCCTCGTGGTGCTCTTGTATTAACTTGCCTTTTCACAATTCAAATATGAATTCAGATCTGATTTTCGCTGCAAACAAAGAAGACAGAAAGCAAACTCACAGAGGTTAAACTAGAGTGTCGTAGATGCTGCTGACCTAGAGGAAGAACACATTTATGTAGCACGTGCATGTACAGCCACAAAGGTTCACATGTATTTTTAATTTTAAGTAACAATAAAAACGTTTAGTTGCCAAATGTTCAAGCAAAAAGTGTAAAAACTTAAACTTTGTGGAAGGAATCTGGAGGGTTTTTTTTCAGAGAAACTCGTCAAACTTTAAATAAAACATTATTAGTATATTAGTATCTTATTAATATAAGTATTCAGATATAATATGTTTGATTAGGTTTCACGTGACAGTGTAATAACGACATTCACACATTATAAACTACTCTGAAATACTCTCACTTTGTTTACAGATGGGAACCATCATGTCACATCTCATTACTTCAGGTAAAGTTACGCACATGTTCATTAAAATTTTCCTTTTCTTTAAGCCTCAAATATATATATATATATATTTAAAACTTTAGCTCTCAGGGAAAATAAAAGCCAGCTGTTTGCAGCTTCCGCTCGTTTTACATCCCTCTGCAGCGCGGCGCCACAAACCTCCAGATCTGCTCCAAAGTTGTTCCAAAACCAGAAGAATTTTCTGAGGGACATGACATCTTGTGGAAGTCCTCGGCATGTTTGTGGAAACCACATAAACCGGAGAGGGTTGGTGTTGTGAGGGGGTGCAGCAGGTCTTAATGTCTTTATGGCGTCCCTGAAAAGGCCGGAAACCCAATAAAAGCTACAAACACAAAGACAGCAACAGAACGAGGATCGAGCGGCCTGTTGGTGCCTCCTGCTCTCAGATGCTTTAGTTTCTGTTAATTTTTAACCCGGGATATTTGCATAGAGGAAACGGAGGATCCGTGTCTGCTGCTGCGGACCAGACACGGGGCAGTTTGGAGAGGTCATGCGTGGGTTACTGAAGGTTTAAAATCAAGTTTTCGGGGTTAAAATCGGATACGAATCGAATTTGGATGATATCTGTACTGCAAAGGGGATTTTAAGGAACCACCAGGACGTTGTTTCAGACATGATCGGTCCCCTTAGATTAGTCCTGTTTGTCACTGGCGTATCATTTTACGCAAACACAAAGCCTGGGACCATTCGTAGATTTGTACTGGTGGATAAAAACAGGTCAAACGTGGCAGTAATGAACGCTGTTTGAAGAAACCAGAAGAGCAGATTTGGTGCTCAGAGTCCACCTGGGTCGCTAAGAAGGCAGACATCTCGGTTGTTTAAATTTTACCAAAGCAGCTTCATAATTCACCCAGCGAGCTGTGTTTGGTGTCTGCACATTTATAATGAGGAATAATTCTGTGTTTGGACACTGCGGTGTCTGTGGAGCAGAGGCGCGCATTGTTTGTGTCACTGCTGCATTGGAGGCGGGTTCTTCTCTCTTAGTTAACATTCAGGAGGCATCAGAATGGGGATCAGGTTCTGGTTCTGTCTGGCTGAACTGTTGTAGTACAAGAATTTTGTGTAAAAAAAAAAAAAAAAGAAGAAGAAGACTGCGGTGTGTTTGCAGAGCCTCTGAGCATCCTGCGGCTCCGGGCCTGCAGGCCGTAAAAATTGTGACGTGTTGCCGCATTGCGAAACCGCTTTTACGCACGGCTCTGAGGACCAGCACCACCGACCAGGTGATGATGTCTGCAAAATCCCCAAAAATCCTCAAATCTTACTTTAAGAATTCTGAAGAATTTGTGATCCTGCTGCAGATACAAAGAAGGACTACAAGCTGCCAGAACGGCAGCTCTATCTCTCTCAAAGATACCAGTCTTATCATCATGTAACATATAAGGTTTAGTTTCCATTGTGTTGCTAAAATGAGGTTTTTCCAACACTGCAGTGTTGTTCTCTGATGTCCGGACTTCGTGCTGCAGCCACACACACACAGAGCAGACTTCACCTCGGAGCTGCTTTCATTCACACACACCTTCATCCCGGATCTGCGTCTGCTGCTCGGCCGGCTCACTGCGGCGGATAACTCACATCACACACCGCCCCTCATCCGACCACACCACACTGCATACTGCTGGTGTTACTGCAAAAAATGTTCTCTCCAAATTAAAAAAAATCTAACTCTGCATTCCCACTAAAAGCTTCAGAGGGATGATAAATACAACATGAGTTTGATATAATGATCATGTTTCTTCATTAGTTCTGTTTCAGATCTGACTCATGGTGCCACCTTTAAAGGGTTAATCCACGCGTTTAAATAATGAGTGTTTTTTTTATTTTAATAAAATATAAATTAAACATTTACCAACCTCTGATGTGTTTCATTCACAGAACAAGTCAAACACGTTAAATCAGCTCATAGACACTTTATAGTTTTCATTAAACACAAACAGTTAAAAGAAGAAGAAACTCAAAGCAGAATATTTATCTTCTTCTCTGCCTGTTTTTAAAGAGAAGAAGAAGAAGAAGAAGAAGAAGAAGAGGGAGAAAATGGCGGCTCGGAGAGAGAGAAGGAGCAGCTCCCCTCTCTCAGCTCTCCATGAAGAAATGCAATAAATTCTTTGTTGTTTTATGAAAATTTACAACTTTGTGATACAAGTTTATGAGTGGCCGCGCGCGGGGATTGGCCGACGGGCTGGTCACGTGGACGCGCTTAACGTGAACATGAACTTTTTATGATTTCCCAAGTGGCTATATTGCTGCTGCTGCTGCTGCACTCAGCTCCGGCCCGAGCTGCTGCCGCCGCTGCTGCTGCCTCGAGCTGCCCGGGGCTCGCGAGGCACCGGGAAGCGCGAGGAAATGATCGCGTGGCTCTAATTAAACGGACTAGTTAATGAGAAAACCCGGCACGAGGAGACAACAACCCGCCCCCTCCCTCCTCCTCCTCCTCCTCCTCCTCCTCTTGCTGCTGCTCTTCCTCCCCTGCTATGGCTCCTCGCTCCGTCTGCTCTCGTGCTGCGGACCGATGTGGGGACGGGAGGAGAAGAAGAGGAAGAGGAGAACCCGGGAAAACCCTTTTCCCGTGAAGACTTCATGATTTTCATTTTTTAACATACATATATTAATCTGTCAGCGCGAGGATGTAGATGATGATGATGATGATGATGGCGGCGGCGGTGATGAAGATGACAACGGTGTTTTGACGACTGGGTGACAACGGGAAACGCACCTCCCCCCCCCCCCTCCTCCTCCTCATCCTCACCACTTCGCGCCGACACCCCTCCATCCAATTAGCATCCATCCATCCGGCTGGGCTGTCTCGTGCCATTCCGGGAAGCTTGACTTGCCTGCACGCGGGACACCGAGCTGAACTGCAGGTGTGTGGGGCTCGTGACGGATTATCAACAAACGGTAAGAGCTTCTCCTGCACGTTCCTGCTCCTCGCGCGCTGCTGCATGAGAGCAGAAACAAGTGAGAGTGTTTGGTGTTTGGTGCTGTGTGGTTGTGTGTGTGTGTGTGTGTGTGTGTGTGTGTGTGCGCGCGTGCGTGTGTGTGTGTGTGTGTGTGAGAGTGTGTTTGGTGCTGTGTGGGATTCTGCTGCGGAGATAAATGAGGTGTTCCTCTCCGGCTCAGGTTCGGGCTCTGCCGTGCGGGATTAGACTCCCTGATGAATGATCCACATGAAGCGGGTCTCTGAGTGCTGGATTATCTACTGAGTGGACACGAGTCGGCTCTCTGAGATCCGGAAGATTAGCTGACGTCTTGTTGCCCCGAGCCGCGCGCGGTGCACGGCGGGAGGGGGGCAGATGTGTTCACGAGAGGGAAACTGGCTTTGATGTGAGGGCAGGTGTGCTGGATCCTCCAAATCCTCACTTTTAACCACCATCATTTGTTATTTTCTTGTGGATTGATAAACCTTATTCTAATGATCTGTGTATCTGTGTCGATAAACTTGAAACTGTTTCCTCTCGCTGGTTGTTTTTGTGTCTTTTCTTTTGTGTTTGAATTGTTTCACTTCCAGATCTCAGAGGAACAGCTTCCAGGTTCTGTCAGCTGACTGACACAGTGTGTGTGTGTGTGTGTGTGTGTGTGTGTGTGTGTGTGTGTGTGTGTGTGTGTGTGTGTAGGCCTTTTGCAGACACAGGAATGTTTTTCTGTCTCGCTCCGTCCAGCCCACTTTTATGACTTTGTTTCCTCTCTCATTTCCTCCCTGCGGCGGGGGGGTTGTTTTTTTTCCTTTTTGTTTTGTTTCTACAGCTAACTGATCAGGACACCGCCCAACACACACTCACACACACACACACACACACACACACACACACACACACACACACACACACACACACACACACACACACACACACACACACACACACACACACACACACACACTCACTCACGCACACTGCTGGTGTTCTCTTTGGTCCCCAATTTGTTGCTGTCTCAAATATCAAACAGCTTCATCCCCCTCACACACACTCACACACACACACACACACACACACAAACACTCTCAAAGTCAGTGGAACATATTTCACCCTGCTCTGAGTTTATTAAATATAATTCATCAGGATCAGTGTCTTCATCTCAACATCTCTGTTTCTGTAAAAGCCTCTGCCCGGCTCGTGTTGACTCTGCAGCTGATGAATGAATCTCTGATTTTAAAAACACACACATTTCTTAACTTCATGTGTGTGTTATCATGGCCTGCTCTCTGACAGAGGAATAGTCCAGTTTATGAGTTTCATCATCATATTATTTTCGATATAAATGTGTTGTTGTTGTTGTTGTTGTTGTTGTTGTTGTCGGTGTGCAGCTAGTTTAAGATCCCTGACGACAAACATCAAATAAATTAATTATTCACTTGAACAAGAGAATCATCTGCAGCTGACTCTAAACGAACGGATGTGATCACAGGCTTTAAACTGTTTTTATTTATTATAGCCTCCGTTTAGACAACAAATACTAAATGTACATTTCACCTCAGCATGACTTTGAATATCAGCTGCCTCAGGTGCGTCAATCTTTAGGTGAACAGTATCAAGAATATTTATATTAATAACATCTAACTCGGGTCAAACTGAGTCCTGAGATGTGAGATCGCTGCAGGAGAAATACTTTAATATAGAACATGTTTGAAAGTTTATCCTTCAGCTCTCTGCTCCTCTGAACTCATAAACGAAACTCTTTTGAAATCACGAATAATGTTTAATTCTGAAATATGAAAATAATCTAAAACATACATGTAGAGTAAGAAGCAACGACACTGACTTAGATTCAATGGAGGAGCCTGATTCTGTCATTATAATAACATGCAGAATAAAAACATTTCATTGGATAAAAACGAAGAATTACTGTTCTATTCATGCTGGAGCGTCAACATGAGACACTTCAGTAAAACTTATCTTTAACCAAAGCTGATTTATAATTAACCTTCAATAAAATGAGAGTTAATGTTAAAGGATGTTTTTATAAAGACAGGCTCTACGGCAAGTAACTGAGTCCAAAATATATAAACCTTCAGAAAAGCATTTCTCTGCTTCTTCAGATTTTACACAGTTTTAAAATATATATAAATAGAAATAACGATACACTGCGCATGCTCAGCTCGGCCGCACTTTTACGATATTAATATTAATAATTTTGTAAATGACCAACAGGCCACCGCGTGCACATGCCAGCCTACAGTCTCGTGCCGCTCGGCTGCTTTCCTTCTTAGTGAACAACAAAGTGAGAGGAAAGTCATTTTCAGTGTGTCACGGTTTGTTTCTTTTTTTCTTTCATATTTTCTGTATTTCATGTTATTTTAACCTCTCAGAGTATTTATATATATTTAAAGGATTTGGAGGAAATTGGAGGACACAATAGGTCGTCAAAAACTTTAATATAAAACAGACACGAGACCAGTTTTTAAGGTAAATAATCCGGACTCTGCGTTTATTACATTTTATAATTATTATGATCAATATTATTGTGTCATTTTATTCTGCTGCAAAACAGATTTTAAAAAAAATATTATTATTTAGAAGCGATGTAGTGTTTTTCTTTTTTTTTTTTTACAACAGGACAACTAAAGGAAACTACCAGAAGCGGCAAATTCTTTCAAATGTTAGTAGTGTGGTAGAGCCAGGTGTGTGTGTGTGTGTGTGTGTGTGTGTGTGTGTACATTCACTTGGCCCCTGTCATGTTTAGTTTGTTCATATAATAATGCTTTGCTACATTATGAATATCACTACATGTACAGATCAATACCAGTTGACATCACATACAGGGATGTATTTATTCATCATCTACTGATTACATGTTTACAAATTCAGCCTGATTGCAGTTAAAGAGAGAGAGAGAGAGTATCTATTTTTTTTAAAAAATATTGTCTAATATGTTTATAACTATAACAGGAAGTGAAAATAAAAAACATCAGTTCAGAGTAGCTACTCTAAACTTTCCCGGAGCTCCATCAGCGGTGCTCACTCTGACACACAGCCGGGGAAGAGCTGCTGTTCGGCGGCTGTGCTCTGCAGCGGCCTCAACCCGCTCCTGCAAAACGCTCTGCTGCCATCTAGCGTCAGAGTGAGCGCAGTGCCAGAGCTCAGAGACAAAAACACATCCTTCAGGGTAATAATACCTACACGTCAAAGACTCTTATAAACACACGATATGCCTGCAGTGATAAATGTGTGTGTGTCGTCGCTCCAGGGTGTGAAGTGCTGTTGGCGAGCAGTGTGTGAAAGCTGTGTGTTGGTGTGTGTGTGTGAGTGTGTGTGTGTTTGTGTGTCGTGTGTTGTATTACGACAAACTGATGATGTGCCTGCGTCTTTACTTTTCCGTCCTCACTGGATCCACACTTGAAACAGGGAGCGCGTGAATGTGCGCGCACCCCGTCACTGTGCGGTTACGTGTAGGCCGTGCATGTCTTTTGTCCTGCAGCTTGTTGGCTCCTTTTCTTCCTTTCTTTGATGTGAGGGCAGAGCAGAGGGGGGGACAGATTTGTGGCTCGGAGGGGGAGCTGCAGGTTCGGCCTGGCGGTGAATGAGGCGTGGAGGAATCCATGCGCGT